TAAGCATGCCATATTTCATCTGGAAATGACGGTAAGAATTTCTTCCCGAATTCAGGTCTCTCAGTTGTTGAGTTTTCAGGGTGTCAGTTAATAAAAATCTAAAGTTTTCTTTACGATTCTAGAAATTGTAAGTATATTACTGAACAAATGCTGACTATTTTAAGATGCAGTTGTTTGACCATTCCTGAAAAAAACAAACTCATGTCAAGCATACTTAACTCATAATGTATATCTTGGAGATGGAGGAGAGAAAGAATATTTGGTTCCAATTTTTATCTAGTTTAAATCACTGCCTGCAATGAATATGGATTGGACAGGGCTAAATGTGGTGAAATTCAGGCAATATACAGAGGTTCTCAATAATGAACAAATGGTGTTGAAAAGTTAAGGTTTGCACTTTGAGGATACTATTATACCTGGCCTTGTGCCCGGTGGTTTTGGCCTAATATAATCAGAGATCATTTAGCATGATTTTATTCCTTGTTTCTAATTATACAAAGCTTGCTTTGAACTTTGGAAAGCTAGTTTATACAGCTGTTTTATTTTATCTAATTGGGGGTTTCAGTGAAAAATACTATTTTAATTACCACCACAAACCATCCTGAATTCATCTTACAAATATATATATATATATATATATAATTGTTGTCCTAGTTTATTTAAAAAACCTTTGAAAGAAATATCACTGAAGGCCAATACAATGTGATTCAGCAAATGAAACAATGAGCAGTGTGTATAATCTACTTTCACTGTGTAAAATATGCTTAATTTCTCTAAATACAGTGGTAGGTTTATTTTAAAGACATCAAACTTCACTTAAACATAAATTATGACAGTATAAGCACTATGATGGAATCAACTATTGAGAGAAACAACACAGCCTCAGTTCTTCAACCAGAGGTTTCATTTTTACCTCTTATTAAAGCATCAAGTATTTTAAAATATAATGTCTAAATCATACTAATTCCCACAATAGAAGAGTGAACAGTAAAAGTAATAGAGTTAGCAAAGATGGAGAGACTGTTTCAATCAAAGCAAGAGTTTGTCTAACTTCATTTCTACTTGAAACAGCTTCTGGACTTTTTGTTCGACACTGGAAAAATGATTTCAGATTTTGGAAATTAGAATAATTTTATAATTATAGAAATGGATTGAAATGTTGCAAAATGTAAAAGGTTGAGCTTGCATTTTTTTATTTTACTGTACTGAAAAACATCAGACGTTACCACTTTTTTCCTTTAGTTTTTCTTTTTCTCTTAAGTTGTCTACTTTTTGTTTTTTCTGTATTTTTATTTTATAATGAAAAAATAAAAAATACATAACTTTTAATGCAGTACCCAAGAAAAAGCTCAAGAAGACATAAAAGACAAAAATGAGTCTACTATTAAGCTATTCAAAATCATAGATTGAAAACACTGTGAAAATTTAATATTCATCTGCTTTTTCACCTCAAGAAACAAATTAACTGATTTTTATGGCATTCGTTTTTGACCAAAAACAGAAACCTATTTCCATGAGCAAGAGCAATATTTCTATAGCAGTAAAACAAGAAAATGTACATGAAAAATATGAGTATATCCTCTAAAGAAAAGGGACTAAGGTTTCAATATTTCTACTGAAGATGTCCCTTACAAGTTAACTTGCATATAACTGAGAGAAGGAAAACTGTGAAAACTGAATGAACACATATCACTGTTATCAGAAACAAATACAACTAAATCATATGTAAGTGCCAATATCGTGAAAGCAGATCAAGCCATCATCATGGTACATATTAAAATGATATCGGAAGAAGCAATGTCCATAATGCTGAAAAAAGGAATAGCTTTGTAGGTGCATACTATTAATCCATGTTTAAGCTATTGAGTCTAGAGCATTAAGAGGTCCCCTCAATTATTAAAAAATGCAATCTGGAAAGTCCAAAAAATAAAATTGTAATCTTGTAATAAATATATTCTACTTTAAATTCCAAATATTTCAATATAAAGTCCTTCATCAAAAATGGATGCCTGGCTACTCAAAATCACATTGTTTTATTAACTGTCCAATAATAAATTAGGTAACATTTCAAAATAGTATCTTAAAAATTGAAAGGTTTATAGTTTTTAATCACTTCTCTTTCCCAGTGCAGCTTTTTATTTGGTATAATATGCTATTTCATAAAATTCCTTCTTCCGTGGGGAGTTTCAGGAAGCCATAGTGAATACATTTAAAACTTTTAAATGTTGCTCCTGCACATTTAGGAAATACAGTATATCACAGAACTGAACACCAAATTTAACGCAGTTCCCCCTTCACACCTGAGACCTTGTAACACTAATGAGACACATGACACAAGGGAGAGAAGATGGCTACTTGAGCCCCATTTGGGCATTATCACTTAGAGGTGTACTCAGTTTTGTTGCCAGAAGTTTAGACATTAATGGCTGTGTGTTGTATTATTTTGAGGGGACGGCACATTTACACTGTTATACAAGCTGTATACTCACTACTTTACATTGTAGCCAAGTGTAATTTCTTCAGTGTTGTCACATGAAAAGATATACTTAAATATTTACAAAATGTGAGGGGGTGTATTCACTTCTGTGATATACTCTATGTCCTTGTATACTTTCCAAATCANTTGCTTTAAAACCATGGTTTTAAAAGGTCATAAAATCATTTTGGTCTTGTGATGATTTGCTTAATGACCATATTGATTAGCCATAAAAATTCCAGTCTAACTGTGGCTGTAAGTCCAGAATTACAAATAGCATATTTAAGATGACGGGACAGAAACTCACAATGGCACAACACTGGCATTTGAGAACAAATGCAATAAGCATACATTCTCACTCACTTTCCCATGAGATGATTTACATTCATACCCCAAATCTCTTTGCTTCCTTCCACAAATACAGAAATGTTTTTAGCGAATGCTCTAAAAGCAGTAAAGTTCCAGAGTTCCAGACATATCAGAAGTTGGAAAGAGAGATTAATTCCTACCCAAGGATTCCTTAGTTGAAGCTAATGGACTGTAACAAAACTTGGCCTTACGTAAATTATATTGCTCAGAACTGTTTTTCGACTCCCATCAAGCCCATGGGTTAGGATTTTCATTTTTAGTTTGAATATAGAACTCTTTCTTTAATTCATCTTTTTGAAACATTTAAATATTTGTTCCTATTCTCATTTCAATACAACAATGACTGGCTTTAAGAGGTACTTTTCCATTCTAAGTATAATCTTTATTGTCACTGTACTTAAACACAACAAAATTGGTATATAAGGTAAAGTTACTCTGTACTCTAATGGAAAAAACTGTAGGGTAGTAAAATTGTTTTTTATCCTTATGCAGCCCCTATCTTTCCTGTCTCAAACTGTCAGCTCCTGCAATGCGTGATCTTTACATGACTTATGTGAACGAAAGCTGATGTATCACTTGCCAAACAACAGAAAATGTTTAATATGTCTAAGCAACTCCATGTGTCAGCACACCATAAGAGACTACTTTAAGCTCAGGTTAGTGCCAAGACAAACTCAGGAATAGTTTCAGTTTAAAACCATGAAGCATTTCTTTTCTTACAGCAGCCATATGTGCACATGGAAATAATTAACAGGTAGATGACATATAAACAACTCCAATACCTGACAATTTATCAAAACTTTTTACTTAACCTTTATTCTTCAGCACACAAAATCAAAGTACCCATACTTGACGAAATAAAAAGCAATAGTCAAGATCAATACATATAAGTAAGACAAGGTACTCAGGACTAATATTTACAATATTATAGTAATATAAGAAAAGTAATAGTATACTTTTCAGATTAATGATCTGGTAAATTTAAGAAGCTTTGTTACAATGTTCTGAATTGGTAATAACAGAAACTGGATTCCTGCACACACACAAAAACAGAAATGTTAACAGCACCAATATTGCAATTTTGAAAATGTCTTCCAGTTGATTTAATCTCTCATTATTTCATTCAGGTTTAACTGTAAATCCAAGTATAGTTTTTGGAATGTCAGTGTCTCCAACTGAATATTTCTTATGCTTCAAATTAAGATGATTTTTAAAAAATATGATTTCAAAAATATTGCGGGATAATCTCTTATTTTCAATTCTCAGAATTACTTGCGTATCATTCTCACTCTAAATCAGTAAAGCTTTTTGAATCAAATATTTTTTTTAAAAAACTATACCAATTAATCATTTTTCTTGCATGAAAATAAAATAATAAATATCAGCAAATTAAAATGAAAAGGTTGCGTGCATATCTTAGGTAAGAGTTCCAACGATGTGAAGTCCGATTTATTGTACTATATATTAATGCAATATTCTCTTACTGTTAGACCAACAAGCAGGATTTCCACATTGAATGTACACTTGGACAGATTTATACTGCAATAGCTTATTCTTTACATAATCTCATGTTAAAACTGTTCAGGACTTGAAAACCACAACCAAAAATGTAAGCTGCTCTCTGAACTGATGTAACATGACACAACGCCTTAGCCTCTCTCACTGTTCCTACAACTTTATTACCTACTGAGTGAAATTTATGAACAGTTCTTAAATTTGGCCCATAAAAAAAAATACATTGTAGTAACTCACTCTGGTGGTATTGTAGGGAGGTTGACTTTTCTTCGGTTGGACAACAGAGACAACAAAATTGTTAACATAACTCCTAAATTTACTTGCTGTTCATTTAAAAGTGCTGAAGCAAATCCAACTTGTTTACCTGATTCTTCAGAGGGAGAATAACTTGAAAACTGATGCACTTTTATTAGGTGAATGGTTTTCCCAAACCAAAAGAATTCAAGCAATATTACATTTTGGTTTATTTATTCTTGTCCATGCCAATCTTGGTTCCACGAATTTTAATTATTCAGTCATTGACCAATAAAAATACATTCAAGAGAAGTAATAAAACAAAACTATCCCCTCACAATAACTATTATCAACAACCATTTGCAGACAAAGCTTATACTTTTATACAAAGCTTATAGAATTTTGCTACTTTTAGAGAAATAAAAATTATCTTGCTTTTTAAATGGATAATGCAAACAAAAAGAATGCCCTGGAAATTTAAATCCAAGAGGAATAATCAATTGATGACAAATATCCCTGTAAAACTGACAATAGAGAAGGCCATGGTTTCTATGGCACTTGTGTTCCATGGCAATATCAGGTTTCATTTGGGTTTTTCTATATTTTCCTTCCAGGACAATTATGGAGAAAGCATTAAATCAGACTAAACATAAGTTTCTCCTGATTTTGAGAATTAATATAAATATCAAGCTGAGTTAGGTACTAAATTCTGGTGTCAAAATCTATTTAGGACATCCATTCTCCCATGATCAGCAGTAGACATGTGGGTGAGCTGCAACATTAACTATATATGTTAATATTTGCAGACCAATTTCCCAGTCAATATTAATATATTGCAAGGAAAGGGGAGTATGTGGGTGTGACCTTGGCCTCCCTTATTCCCAATTCACTTCAATTAATTTACTGGAACCAGTTCAAGATTCTCCAGGTTTTAACCTTCACCATATGTGCAGCATTCATCATTTTAAATTGTCAGTATAAAAATAATATTCAAACGTGCTGGTATTTTTCTCTCACAACTATTTAAAATTATGGTCTGACTTTTACAAATTTCATTAAAGTTTCTAAATATACCAGGCTATTGTTCTGACGTCTATAGTATATATCAGCATTCAAACATACCAATGTTCTAGTACCACACAGGCAAGAAGCATCAACTCCTCTTCAAAGAAATTTATTAAATCTGGTGATTTTTTTATGCTGGAATTTTAACACAAACTATTAACCAGAAGGAAAGTATTACAATTTTAAAGACAAAGGAAAAAAAGGCAATGCTTAGCTTTCTATTTAACTTACAGTGTTTGTTGAATCCTCTTGTAAAATCCTGTCATATAACTGTATTGCATCATCATAGCTGCAAATATGAACAGAAAACACCTGCAGGTAAATTTAACAATGTTCTAATATCTCTATATACTTAAAACCATTCATCCTAACCCAGTAAGATGTGCCAAACTGCTGGAAAATAACATCTGAATATGGACATAAATATGTATAATGTTGTTCATCTGAAGTCACTGAAGGAAAGTATTGAAAGGAAAGGAAAGGAAAGGAAAGGAAACACTGAAGGACTGTGTTTTGGTGCATTTGAAGCCACAGTCCTCAGTGCAGTCACTTAAATACAATTTTAATTGGACTCAACATCTTTCTTACCATGTGTGGGCANGGGGTGTATTCACTTCTGTGATATACTCTATGTCCTTGTATACTTTCCAAATCAGTCATGTGAGTCTCAGAAAAGATATGGAGGTTTCAAAGAGTGAAAAGGGAAACTAGTGTATTTCACAAGATTTACATAGCCCTAAAAGTAGACTGCAAAAATATACTTCAGTAATGGACTGCAAAAGAAATAAGGAGAATGCCTACCTATTATCTTAGCAAAGATTAGATTTACTGGATTTGCATAAGAAGTATGTTGGAACACTTACCGTTGCCAAGTCATCTCGGTTGCAATCCAATGCGGCGATCATCACTTGTTCATATATTATCCAAACTAGATAATACAAAATATGATGAAACACAGATTTTCCCCGCCACAAACCTGCTAATTAGCTCATACCAAATTGTAGGACATGTTGCCTTTTATAACTTCAGTATACTTAATCTTACGGAAACCCATCACGCTAATGCTAAACCTGAATATTTAGACAAATTCCTCGTGTGCTTAACCACACTTGCCCAAATAAATAAAGTATAATAGGTAAATAAAGAAAGTATAAGCATTTGTTAAACATATTTTAACTTCATTGCTCATACATTTTTATACACTGGTTCATCTTAAAAGCTGAATTGCAAAAACAACATGGGATATCAAATCAACTATGGTCACCAGCTTTAAAAAAAAAGTCTGTTTTTGGCAAATAATAGCTTTCAGAAAAAACATTGATGATATAGGTGCACTGTTCTCCTTTTGTTTCCATTTAAATAATATTTTTGTAAAATTCCTAAGTTGCTGTATTTATTGAATTCTAAAGTTCATGGAAGAAGCTCCAATGAGAAATCTTACTCTAAAAGATTAAAAAATGCTATCAGTCATATAATTATTTCTCCTTAGCTTACAGAGCTAATGAAAATCCATCTTAATTCTGCATTCTTTCTTTTTCATTTATTTACTATTCCTACATTATAGCTCTTGACTAAAAATAATCCAGTCTGATAAACTGAACTTCTTTCAATTCCCATACAAACCCAGGGTGTTCAGCTTCCATTAAGAAAAAAATAATCTTAGGCAAGTGTATGTATGGGTACCTATCTGCAATAGCTTTTAGATTTCTCTTGTGTAAAACCTGAAAGGATTCTGAGAATAGATGAACTTCTTAAGCAAAATAAAAAATGCTTTCTGGGTACTAAAGTAGAAGCTACATGGTTAATGCAGACCATAAGAAGAGTAAAAGACATGACAGCAGGAAATGACAGTTCATTGACTGCAACCTTCTGGAAAAATGATATATACTACAAATAAACTGGAACAAAATATTGTTGTTTGTAATCAAAGTATGTTGTGTTATCTACATTCATGAATGTTATTAAGTTGTTACTTTATATTCATAGAGTAATTCACCCAAAAAAGGTCAATGAATATATTCAACTATTCCGATAAGACAATCATTATTTCCAAAATAATTTACTTTGGTTCAAAATAAAAATCAGTTCCACACAAGTTTATTATATTCACTTATTCTTCTGTAAGAAAAGTGGATTTCATTACTCATGGTTACTTCTGGCAATATCCTAGCATTTAATAAATCTGTTTCAGAAAAACTGTATTTTGTTGAATTTAAGTATTACTGAGATAAAAACTTCCTAAAATTAAATAAAAAATATTTTAGTTCAGATCTTTGAGACCTCTGCCAAAAATAAACTGCTCATACTGTATGAATTAGGTTAACTGAATTATAAAAATGAAGATAAAATAAACTAATTAAAATCAAATCTTTTTTCACTCCCTTCCTGCCTACACAGGAATCTTAATCAATCCTGTACACTCAGATGCTTTACCCTGCGCTGCATACATTGCTCCTTGAAAACTTTTTCTTCAACGATTCCCTTCTGATATAAAATACAGAATGCCAAGCTTTTGGGGAAGAATTTGTATTATGAAACTATGAGTCCTCTCTCCCCAAATGATACTGCATCTAATGAAAATCCAGACACACCCTACACTCTCCTGCCCAACTGTATTATAAAAGCACCTTCATATTGATTCCACGTCACTGACTTTGCTTTAATTTTTCAGGAATAAACTTCCCAATTTCAATCCCTAAACATTTGACTAGTTGAAATTTGTTTCAAGTTTTCTGGGAGCGGTAATGGAAGATACTTCCCAAAGTATCTCTATGAATAGAGAGTAACTTAATCTGTTGTAGCTACAAGTTCCCTAGCCACACGCTATACTTGTAAAAATCAGAAGTCTAGGAATACTGGTCGATATTAAGCATACAAAGTTTGTGAACATATTGTGCATCAGCATGGCACAAAAAAATCACTAAAATAGAAAGCATGATAGAGAAATCAATTGTATTCTAATTGTGAACCAATCCAGATTGGATCCTGTATACTAATTTTATCTGATATTTTAATATAAATACATATGTCTGGCTTTGTTGGCCTTTATTACAATATGCAAATTTTAACTGTATACTAATAAAACCTAGAACATGACATATATCACAGCATATCAGAAAGGCTAGCTAATAAAGAGAAGTAAAACAGTTTTAACTTACTGTCATCACCAAGCTTAGCTGCATATTCATTAATTAACTCTTCTCCAACTTCAACTATTTGCTCGCTGTTCCGATAGTTCTCTTCCCTCCATTTTCTCATTTTGTCTCGCATCTCTGAAAGAAACAAAATGACAATTAGAATAGACTAACAATAGTGTCCAATATTTCGAATAATATACAATTTAAGCAAATAATCTTTGCTGAGATCACATCTGTCATATGAATCCATGTGTATAATTTTATTTCTTGTATTACACTCACACAGCCTTTCAACAAAATTTAAAATTGGAAACTTACTGCTGTCGTTTGGAACATTTCTACTTTTGGGGAATGACTAAACTTATACAGAGTATAAACTCCAAACTGATTTTGAATTCCTACCACTTTGGTGTCAAAAATACATAGCACTACAAAAACATCTTACAGAACTGAAACTGTAAATTTCTAAATAGTATCCTACTGTTTAGAAACCATCTGATTGGTATTTTAAGACTATTGTTCTTTGAATTCTCCAAGGAATATTTGTTGCTATTTATAATTGTTCTGGGAACAATTTCTTACTGCAAATGTAAAATGAGCTTATTCTGCATGCCGAACAGTGTTATTTTAAAATTACAATATCCAATTATAGATTTAAAAAAATACTGTCACACACACCATTTACAACTTCCTCTGAGAATTCTCAGGTTGTTTTCAGCAATCTCTGAAGCATACTTTGTTAAATGGTTAACTCATATAATTTTCTTATTTTAATAAAACTTATAAAAGTGTAATGTTAACTCATTCAGTTAACTATTACTTACTATTCTTATTATTTCCTAATTCAAAATAGAAGTATAGGAGAAAAATATTACTATTAAAATTAATGCAGCAACATATATGTATACACTTTATATTTTTAAAATATGTTTTCCTAATTAATAAAGTATCCACTAATAAGTGAAAAAGAGCAACAGTACTGCTTTCTACAATTCACTTATTTTTTGAAAGTATTAAAGTTATCATAGACGTGGCTGTAATAAAAGTAAATATCATGAATAATATCATGGATGTCAAATATGCCGCTAAGTAATATAAAACTTTAAAGCTTAAAAACATATTAGATTATGAAATCTTTCCACAGGTTTTTAAAATCAGTGTACTGCAGAATCCTCTGAAGATATGTTTTAACCTAACAATTTTATATGGTTAAAAAAAGTCAGCATTTACCAAAGTAAACATCAGGTATTAATGAGTTTGCTTTGTTATTGGTGCTATTATTATTATTAATGAAAGGAAAAGCCTTGCAGAATATTTTTACCTGATATTTAATATGAAATACATACCTCTGAATTACTTAGCCTTTCTTTTATTACAAGATGTGCAAATTTAACAAAACTGTCAATTTTAGATTCAATAAACCTTTTTGTACAATCTGTTCCTATTCTACCCCTCCCACCCCCACATTAAAAAAATTCAGAATGTTGGAAACATACTGCATTTTATTCTAAAAGTCAACAAAACCACTGTATATTATGTTTCATGTGCCTGAGTAGAACTAAATGGTTCCTGACTCAAGATGATCCCTGGAAATTAAAAATGGATATAAACAACCTGAGTGAATATCGTATCTATTACCAAGACTAAGAGATTAAAATATTTAAAGCTGTGTTTTTACTGTGAATTTACTTCACCACTGGTAGAACATCTATGTAAGACTAATTCCAATACAAAAAAATAATATGATACTATGACAGAGTATACTACACGATTTCAAATACTGAAAAAAGTTGTCATCTGATAATTTTTTTTTTAAAGAACAGAAGTAATTTAAAGTGTCTGCCTGCTGAATTTTTCCAATAGAAGAAAACTACACTTTTCAAAGAGCATTATTCTCAGCAGCATGACAAATATTGCAGCCTAAGATAAATTCAAGGACCAGGTTTTACAATATAAAGAGGAGAAGAGGAAGAAATGTTTTCCACTTAGATAGCTCTTTATTACTAAATTAGATGCAAATTAATTTCAAAATTATTGAAAATATTAAGAATTACTTTTAAAAGAGAGATTACAATGTACTTAATTCATATAACTAATTACATTTATGCAAAAAGCTATCAGGATAAAAGTTAGTTTTTTCAGCTAGAATTATTTTAATAAATTTAATTCTCTCAAAAATGGAAACAAGGAGAGTTATAGCATCTGATTGTAAAAAGTACACCTATTGATGTATCTCTTAAACTTATAATAGCCTGATAGAACAGAAATTACCATGATAGCTTCAGTTATGATTATAGCCATTGTAAAACAATTATAAAATCAAGACAAGGGCACATGGTGATCCACTTAATATCCACAATGGCTTACAACCAAAATTCCCAGTTCAATTGTGGATAGTTTTCTGCACACATTATTTCTGTGTATTTTTAGTTCTTATGTTTTTGTATTCATTGTATATTTAAATAAGCTTTTAAAAAGAAAGATTATTCTCAGCTTTATTCTAACATTTCCACTATGGTTCACTCATGGTATGGTTATTCAGCAATGCACAATAAACATTCAGGTTACGATAGTAACCAACAACAAAATTCAAGCTGATAAATTTATCTTCCTTACACTATTTCCCATTTACATCTATATTTGGATTATACCTCTCTTTTAAATGTATGTGCGTCCTTTTGTCCTCAAGCTCCCTGTACCACTCAGAAAGGTCCTAATCCTAAAAACAATATATGTGTGTTTGAAAATTACTTTCATTTTTTTTCCTGATCTTAAAGATTGAGAATATCTAAAATTTCTTAATTTTTTAATTTCTTAATATATTTATGATGTATTTTATTTATGATGTATGCCTGTACAGTTTAAGACTTGCACTTTATATAATAGGATTCACTTCAGGTAATAATTTGAACCATTATATACCATATTTTTCGGAGTATAAAACACACCTTTTTCCCTCAAAAAAAGAGGCTGAAAATCTGGGTGCGTCTTATACACTGAATGCAACATTTTTTGCTTCCCGAACCCCACCCCTTCACCAAAATGGCCGTGCAGAGCCTGTAGAACGTTTTCATAGAGCTCCCAGGGGCTGGGGAAGGCAGAAATGAGTGAAAAATGGGCCTTTTTTTTGCTCAATTC